GGAGCCTCACCTCTTCGTTTACTGTTTGCTGCTGCAGCGGCACAGCTGCAGCAGCAGCAGCAGCAGCAGCAGCAGCAGCAGCATCTCACATTTTATATATTGCTGCTGATGGCCGCTTGGGAGACGCGAGCTGAAGAGACAACGCAAGGGGCCGCTGCAGCAAAGGCTGCTGTCTACCGAGGGCTGTTGCAGTAGCCAGTGCTGCTCCTGCTGCTGCTGCTGCGGGTGTTGTTGCTGCTGCTGCTGCTGCTGCTGCTGAGCCAGGCTCTCCTGGGTGTCTCCTCCCAGCAGCAGCACCAGCAGCAGCACCAGCAGCAGCAACAGCAGCAGCAGCAGCAGCAGCACCGTCAGCAGGCCAACCTGCAACCAGCTGCAGCGTCTCAAGGCATAGGCGCGAGAGCTGCCGCTTAGGAGCAGCAGCAGCAGGCAGCAGCAGCGCAGCAGCAGCAGCAAATATTACTGTTGCTGCGCATAAACCCCAACACAACATCGAATCACACACTCACTGGCAGCAGCAGCAGCTGCTGCTGCTGCTGCAACAAGCTGAAGCAGTAGCAGCAGCAGCGCAGCAGCAGCAGCAAACAGCTGCAGCAACCTATGGCTGCAGCAGCGGCAACAGCAACAGCAGCAACAGCACAAACAGCAGAGGAGGGGCAGGCGGACGTACCCCCGATAGCGCGGTCTGGATCGACTTGCTGCTGCCTGCTGCTGCTGCTGCTGCTGCTGCTGCTGCTGCTGCGTGCTGCAGCCTGTGACGCCTTGCGCTGCAGCCTAGTGGAGCGGCGCTCTGTTTCTTCTGCTGCTGTCGTGAGGCCTTGCAGCAGCAGACAAACAGCAGCAGCACCGCCAAACAACCCGCAGTCCCCCGCCATCCCGCTGCAGCAGCAGCAGCAGCAAAAGCAGCAGCAGACAGAGAGCAGCACATGCAGCAACAGCAGCAACAGACACAAAAGCGGCAGCAGCTGCAGCAGATCGGCAGCAGCAGACGCAGAAGCAGCAGCAGCAGCAGCATATCGGTAGCAGCAGAAGCAGCAGCAGCACATCAGCAGCTGCAGCAGCAACAACCGCTACAGCAGCAGCAGCAGCAGCAGCAGCAGCAGCAGCAGCAACGTGCCTGAGGTGTGTGCGAAGGGCCTCGAG